ACAATAATACATTTCCATTTACCTCCTTCTCTATATCCATACAAAATATCTATCAAACAAATAAAATTAAAATTTTCTTTTAAAAAATGAAACCATTCCATCAGTATTTTCTTATGACGTTGTCACGTTCAATTATCGTCAGTAAACCGACTTTACAGACAACCGATTTTTTTTCATATTTACAGAGAACAGCAGCAAATCAATTGGGTCGACGAAAAGAGATACACACGATGAGTACAATATGAGTCGCGGTTTGCAATTCACGATATGTTGCAGTCCTCTGAACTGTTGTTCGCCTCCCGAATTTGCTGTTTAGTCTTCCTACTGGATCTTCTTATAAGGGATCTGGATCTCGGTTTGGCACGTGTTTCGAGTGAGTGACTTCCGCCACCTTCAGCGGCACTGGTGGATTTCTCCTTGTCCGGACTCGCCGTCCTGCGGCCGCTCTTGCTATTCGACACATACGCGCTACTCCTACGTTTGAATTGTGTGGTATCGTCTGAATCCCGGGGGATTATTCTGGATAGATTCAAGAGGGAACGGAATATTTCTCGGATATTTATGTCGTCCTTTGCCGAACATTCGAGCACCTTCATCCTGGAAAAGAAAATGTATATTCTCTCTTTTGAAAAAAGGCAAAACGAACCGAGTGTGAAGCGTAATCCACCCTGACCTTTAAGGAAAAATATTTTAAAATATCCATAATCAAATATTGAAGCAAATTTTATTTATAAAATAGGAATAAATAATAAGTATGATGGTTTATGTTTGTTACACTTATTTTTCACACAATTTAAGTTTGTAAAAACATAGTTTATAAAAGGTGGGATTTTGGAAATCTTAATAAAGTACAGTTGATAAGTGTAGGGTTAACGATGAAAATTTTTTCGTTCTCTCTCAATTTACCTTTATTTTACGTACTACCCATTAGTAGATCTAAAAGTTACGTTTTTATTTCAATATTAAATTTCTCCAGTACGACATCGCAATGGGAGCGCCACTTTAATCAAGTTTTTAATTATATGTACCTTACTTTAATTTTAACTTGCATTTTGTAGTAACAAAAAGAAGTGACGGACTTTTGCTCCTTGTAGAAAGCGTTACCTTCGACCATTTCAATTACCGTGTAAAATTGAACTCTAAATGGAAACCGTTGGAAAAAGAAACTTCAAGTTCGACTTTCAGTTCCCAGTTGGTCGCTGGTGTAAAACAATGAATCAAAAGCGACGGAAAAATGTTTAAAAATATATACAGTTGCGGAATTATTCCAGCAAAGTACCTACCTACCTAAAAGCTACAACAAAAATTTACTAATCATCCTTTTGTTCAGATTTATAATTATATCCTATGAAGTTTCGCCTTTAGCTGTGTCCACATAATATCCCACAAATCTCGATGAAAATTAATCTCTCGTTTGTTAACGATTTCAATTAAACAGTAATTAGTGAGTGGAATAAGCCCAATTATGTTCATGTAGGATCACGTTGGCTAGAGTAAACAGCGATAATCATAATCATGAAAACAGTTTTTAGAGTATTATCTAACACAAATATTGACTATTTTCTATACTATACAAAGCGTTTAAAATCTGAAATTTCAAAGATTTAATTAGGCAAATATTATATACATTCGTAAGGCCTCGAAATAACCTTTCGTAAAATTAGAGCTATCAGTAGAAAATTTAGGTACCTGTGACTTCAGTTACTTGAAAGTACTCATACCTTTCAAAATTCGTAGCAGGTTGTACAAGATGATTTTGATGATTGAATACTAAGATTTTATAGAAAATTGTAAAGTACAGAATTCCATTTATTTTAAGGGTAGGATATGTGAGACAAAAAGGGCTAATAGTCAGAGATGTGACGTTCTAGTTTTCGAGAAATGTAAAGATTGACACATAACCCGAAGGAGCATTTTTAAATATCTTTTGACAAAAATTTTTGGTACAACTTTTGTAAAATTGCATGATTTCAAAAAAAATTGGAAAGTTTCACTAATACTTGTTTAATGGACACAACAAATTTGTTTCGGCCGATGCGGCCATTAACAAGAGTATAGAAAAGATTACTAAAGTTAAAAAAACAAAAAAAAAAACTTTTGGGTGTTTCATTCCCACCAGCCAGCAATGCTGGTTGGCGGGCAGTACCTCCGGTACTACGCCGGAAGGCCCTCTTCAGCCTGCTTTCAGGAATCGTGGGAACGGGTGGGTGGTGGTTCGGGTGAGAAAGTTGAGACGGACGAAATGAAGACAGAAGAGAATGAAAGATTATCTGTGGAATATTACTGCCTCAGCATTTGCCTAAGTGGAGCAATGAAACCACAGAAAAACTTGGACTAAGGCAGACGGACCCGGAATCGAACCCGCGTCCTCCCGAATGCTAAGCAATGGTCTAGACCTCTAGGCCATGCCGCTCGGTTAAAGTTAAAACCTCCCTAATCCTATTTATATTTACAGTTTATGTAAAACTAGTGGGGAATTATACGTCGATAATGCTGTTTGGTTATTAACTAGGTTATAATTATTTACTAAGCCTTTTTTAATTTCCAGATTTTCTAGAATATATACCGAAATCTAGAAAACTATCTCTTCTAGAAAATCTGGAAATTAAAAAAGGCTTAGTAAATAATTGCAACCTAGTAAATAACAAAACAGAGTTATCGACATACAACTCCCTACTACTTTTACATAAACTGTAAATATAAATAGGATTAGGTAGGTTTTAACTTTAGTAATCTTTTGTATACTGTTTATTTATCGGGTCGATTAAAAAAATTTTAGTGAAACTTTCCAGTTTTTTTTGGATATTTTATGTACCTATCTTATTGCGTGATCATTTTACTCAAGTTTAAATGTGAAAGTTTCGATCTTTATTAAGTTGTTAAGAAATAAAGCGATCGTGCAATCTCGTCGGTGCAGAGAAAATGAGTTAATTTTTTTTTGCGACTATGTACCTGCCGCTAACTTTTAATGAAGGTTCAGATAGGGCGTCCTGGCCATTAAAAGCGCAATCTTGGTTGGCGCTGACAGAAGAGAACGAGATTGCACAGGACGACGTTCAAACTTTTCTGGATGTACTTTGTACACATTTGCCGCTTTACGGTGGCGTGGCGTCATATTTCGTCCCGATTAAATAATTATTTCTTATCTATCGTTAAGCGAAGGAAATTGATGATTAATACGATGCACATGGTTTTGCTATGACCACTGATCAATATTTTGCTGTAAAACTACAACAATACAACAGAAATGTGGTATTTTTGAAGAATATTAAAAATACAGTGGATAGGAAAGGTATTGACAACACAGTGTGGTAAATAAAAGTAGAATAAGGGAGAAAAAATAGGAAAAGAGTGGATATAAAGATAGGAGACGAATTTATTAAGAGTGGTTGATTTTCGGTATGCAGGATATCGGATAATTCAGGAAACCAAAAAACTTACTGTTCACTTATGGTTAGGGAAATACGAAGATTAGCTCAGGATAGGAAAGAGTAGAGGTGCGTGTCCAACCAGTCTTACGATTCACAACCTTATGATGATGATAATAAGGAAAAATATTAGGGAGAGAGAGGGCGCAATGAGAATTAGGCGAGACACGTTAACAAAAGACACTTTCTTAGACATGAAGGGCCAGTTAAAGACATATTAGTAGCAGAAACATGAGTTAACGGGTTAAGATAAATTAGATTATTGTTTATAAATAGTTAGAGATGTAAGCTACTCTAGTTTTAGAGAGATGCGAAGATCGGAAGAAGTGAAAGCGAGATGAAGATTTTAACGATGAAGATAAGGAGTATATACAGCCAGTTACATAATAAGAAAATTTGGTCACAAGGGAAGAAAAAATGAATAAGCAGTAAACAAAACTCAATATCGCATCCTATTTGATTTATCCTTTGTTAATGGGGAAATTTAACAGGCCGATATAAAGTTTGGCTCGATACAGGGGAATATTTAGTACGACATTTAACAATATTATGAGAGCAAAGGAGTTCCCGTAATTTAATAAATAATTATTGACGTTCTCTTATAGGTATAAAGAGAAGTCGGCTTTTATTAAAAAGGCGGAAATAAACATCTGCCCATTAAAATTGTAGATTCTTCCTCATTTTATTATGCATCAAAGCGACTAACATTAGACGCTTCGAAGCGAAAACGAAATATGAAATGGAACATTTTGAAATCAAACTGCGAACCTTACCTGAAATTCCGTTTAAACGACGCGCTCTGTTAAAAATTATTATTTAATATTAGAATTGTATGATGGTAAGGATGTAGAGCAGAAATTTGTTTGATAGCAATTAAAAACTTGGTAATTGTTATTAATTAACGGGAAGGGTTCTACAAAGGGTTGAAACTTTAGCGAGAAGGATAATTTAAATTAAAATTATACAATTTACATGCTGTAATTGTACTCAATTTGTTTTTGGTAGAGTAAATTATAAAAATTACCCCTTGGGTAGACGGAAGTTTCATATTGTGGAGTGTTTTATTTTCCTTCAATTATCCAGCTTCACTAAACATTTTTTAAGGGTTGCTTAAATGTTTCAAAAATCTTCTAGTCATTTGCAATCTTGTTGTGTTGCGCGTACCTTTTTCTGTTTTCTATAAACAAGAATCGCGGTAACTTCAAAGCGTGCCAATCAAAATTAAGTGGTTCTTTTGAAAGTGCATGTTGCCCTGAACTTTTTTTTTGCCACGTTGTAGCCACGTCTAAAGTTATAATTAAAATTTACCCCTTCTAAGGGATACGTTTTGATAAAACCATTACAATTTGTACTGGTTCGGATATTCTATAAATCAAGTACAAACTGCAAAATCCCTTTAAGGGTTTAACTGTCAATGTAAAATAAGAATTTTTATAAAACTAAGTTACAGGCTGGATTAGCTTTTTTTATACCTACGTTGAAATTTATTGAATGAGAAGTGCTATAGCAAAATTCAAATTTGTATTCATCCATTCTTTTGATGCCGTTTTACGGATTTCAGAGGAAAAAGGAAGAAGAAAATATTAAAACTTAATCTTCAGTGAACGCCTACATAGCTGTTCAATTTTTAATTAAGGGTTAGGCCTTGGGTTTGGGTGTCGCAATGCATTTTGAATTATATTTAGCAGATGGGATTATGGCATATTCATATTTCTGTTTTGCGGTAAGGACAAACAAAACTTTACTGCACGAATTCTTATTTGGTTGCTGATTTTAACATTCAAAACCCGGTCGCACTACCTTATTAAATCCTACTTTGCGAGAAATGTTTCAGTTCGTACAGAGGGACAACCGTCATGCATTGTTCCGAAAATCGAAAATCCAATTTTAAATTTAAAATTACACCATTGTAGTTGTATGTACGTCTGTACATATGAATGGAAAGTTCAGGAACGCAATTCTGACAGCAACTTGTGAGTATTAGTACGAAGTTTCGAAACGATATTTGTCGTGTGACAAGCATAATTTCTAAGGTAGTAACATTCGAGCCAAAAAGTTTTAACATCTAATCGCCTCTATGAAAGGGAAAAATATGTCAGAGACTGTATCATTTGGGGTAAGCACACGCCAAAGAACGTAATGTATCTATAGGGTTGTTTTGAAAGTAATTTCGTTTTTTTTGTGGAAATAAAAGACAGTTTTCGTATAATAAACAAATANGGTCGCACTACCTTATTAAATCCTACTTTGCGAGAAATGTTTCAGTTCGTATAGAGGGACAACCTTCATGCATTGTTCCGAAAATCGAAAATCCAATTTTAAATTTAAAATTACACCATTGTACTTGTATGTACGTTGTACATATGAATGGAAAGTTCAGGAACGCAATTTTGACAACAACTTGTGCTTGTGCTTGTGTGACAAGCATAATTTCTAAGGTAGTAGCATTCGAGCCAAAAAGTTTTAACATCTAATCGCTTCTATGAAAGGGAAAAATATGTCAGAAACCGTATCATTTGGGGTAAGCACACGCCAAAGGACGTAATGTATCTATATTCCAGAACAGGACAAAGCTTTCACCAAAAGAGCTCTAAGTCCCAATCTCAAAGCCTTTACTTAAAATCCAATGAGTTCTAATTACCAATTATTTCAGAAGTAATTAAATTTGAACCCCTAAATTCCTACAATCTTATATAAATACCTACAGGTAAACACTTTCTTCTTAGGTCTGTTTGTACTTCTAGTCGTTTCAGAGCTTGGAATCACACTATAATTCAATCCCCATCATGAGCAAGTAGTTGGAACTTTGTAAACGAGTTATTTTATAAATGTGCTTTGTAATTTGTAATTTAAAGGGTTTTGAGGTCATTCAAAGTGCTTTAAGCATTTTTGATGGGCTTAGGGATTTGCCTAAATCAAATTGCTGTCAAAGTAATTGGCAAATCCCTGGATTTTAAAATGTAATTGGGGTTTTAAGCGCTAAATAGCTTAAGTTAGAGCTTTGAGCTTAGGACTTGGACCTGTTTTGGTGAGAGCTTTAAGGGCAGAAAATGGAAGTGTTTCTCTAAGTTTATGGTAATATGTATACCTACAGACAGACAAACGTCACCCTTTTCGTTTGTGCAGATATATCTTTTGAAAACGTTCCATCAAATTAAACTTTGCTTCCATCTCTGCGGGTGCAAACGCATCCTAGCAGACATGAAAGCACAAACACAAACTAATTAATAATTTTACCTAAGTTTCGGCAGTTCGCAGTAGACCCACTCCGAGACGTCTTCTATCCTGACCTCTCTGTGCGAAGATGTAAGATCCAACTTATTCCCCGCTATCACAATGGGAATATCCTGAAAATCGGCCCGCTGCTCCCTAATCTCCTCAAAGCATTGTTTAATACACTGAAACGATGGCGCAGACGTGACAGCGTAAACCAGGAGGAACGCATGAGCAGTTGCTATACACAATCTCCTCATGGCAGGGAACTGCATGTCGCCAGCTGTATCCAGGATGTCCACCTTGAGCGTCATGTGCCCCAGGTCGTATTCGCGATTGTAGAGGTCTTCAATTGTACTCCTGTACTTGTCAGTGTAAGTGTTCATGAGGAAACGTTTCACGATACAACTCTTTCCCACCCCAGCACCGCCCAAAACAACCAAACGTATCCTTTCGTAATCCGCCATTGCCGAAGCACTGCCGTTCATTTGGCTTCAGGTGTTCAACGAACTTTATTACAAGGCGCTTCACGTGGAGAACCGAGAACTTGGCACGATGACAACATTTCACAATTGATAAAGAAAGCTGTGCGGACCGGGACTGTTCAGTTCTGGAGGAGTAAATTCTATTTTCGTTCAGCTCAACGAATGAAAATTAATAAGCACACGAGTGCGACTGCGACTTATCGAGAACACTGTTCATTCGCTTTAAACAAAACTCGGTTTCAGTCGATTTTCAGGCGATACTGTTAAAGCGAATTATTGTATAAAGACGGGTAAGAAGTAATTAAGTTTGCGAAGAGAATTTGGTGCGTGAAGTGTGACGATATATGGAACGGAGGGAACTGCTTCTTTTGATCAATACCCAAGGGAAGACGAAGAGCGAGTGGGATACACCTGAAACAAAAGAAGCAACAAATGAGTTCTACTATTGTTTGCACGCCAACCACAAGTGCATACTTTACAAACACTTTTCATAAAGTTTGAATAATTGTACACATTTTGTTCTTGTTACCAAATTTCCATTTCAAACTGTAAAATTTAATTTGTTTAACCTCCCTATGCCTTCCTCAAGCTTAAAGTTTGCACTACCCTAAGGTATGAATTGTGGTTGAAATGTTTTAAACTAAATAAATCATTTGCTTTTCGTACTTTCGATAATAGTCCTGCAGACTGAAACAATATTCCAAAAGCAATCAATAAATATTTGCGAAAACCCAAATGTTTACCAATATTTCCTTTACAAGTAAACTTCAATCATTTTTAATTTATTTTGTACTAGGTTTTACTCGCGGCTTTGCTCGTGCTGATGTCCTAAACATGTGTCAAAGATCATGGACTATCATATACAATTAATTTTTTTATCCTTCTGGAACACTATCTTTCTTCTGGATAAAAGTTACCCTATGTCAGTTTTTGTACCCCTGACAATGTGTGTACAAAATTTCATGATAGGTTTTAGCCTCGGCTTCGCTCGCATTGATGTTCTAAATACCTGTTAATGATCATCGACGACTAGAACTCCTGAACGGTAGTTTTTTTCTGTATATGAGGTACCCTTATCCTTTTCTGTACCCCTAATAATGTGTGTAGAAAATTTCATGATGAAATGGTGATAGTAAACAAGCAAATACAATTTGGTAGGATAATAGTGTAGACTATAGCTGATTGTAATTTGTGATTTGGTAACTGCTTTGACTTTAAAGAAAGCAGAAATTATTACGTACATTTTCATGTTATGTTATGAAAATGTATCGGAAAGATATTGAAAACCGCTCGTAACTTTTTGCATTTGTAATATACGAAAACATTCACATAAACGAAGTGAAGTGAATAAACGTCTCTATAAACAGTAGCTTTAGCTTCATTTTACAATAGTTCACGTTGATATAAAATTTTAATGCACCATTTCCTTGTAATAATGCCAATATTGACAATGAATTGAATCAATACTGTGAACTCACGATAAGTAAACATTAAAAACTATATTTCATAGATCATTGCAGAGCTTCATTACCATAAGTTTCATACGCACAAAATCGGGTTCTTATTAAAAATAAGTCCTAGCTAGTCTAGTTAAAGCTGAAGAGTTTTCCTATTTTTAAAGACAGGAGCATTCAGTAATCGGTTCCGGTGTTAAAGGCATCAGTAGATACTCAATAAAGATAGTAGACATTCGTATGCTTGTACCGAGCGACATGGTCTAGTGGTTTAGACCATTGCTTAGCATTCGAGTGGACGCCGGTTCGATTCCGGATCCGTCTGCCTTGGTCCAAGCTTTTCTGTGGTTTCCTTGGATCACTTAAGCAAATGTTGGGGCAGTAATATTCCACAGATAATCTTTCATTCTCTTCTGTCTTCATTTCTTCCGTCTCAACTTTCTCACCCGAACCACCACCCACCCATTCCCTGAAAGCAGGCTGAAGAGGGCCTTCCGCTCTACCTTCCGGCGTAGTCCGGAAGGACTGCCCGCCCACCAGCAGCATTACTGGCTGATAAGAATGAAACACCTAAAAGTTTTTTTTTTTTTTTCGTATGTTTGAGATTCTATTCATATTATCACGAATTTCAAACGGAATATCTACTGAGCACTCCACTTTATCCATATTGTACTTTTGCTCAAAATCCCTGGACTGTTCAGTTTTTTCATTTAATCTTGTATTAGATAATTAAACCGCACAAAGGACGAAGATTACGACCACAACGAGTTTAATTCCTCTTTTATAAATAAATTAATGGTTTCCTCCAAAGTTTAAAAAAAAAATATGTTGTATTTTAAATTAAATTTCAAACATTTCATAACAACTCGGAATACTTAACGTGAATTAGATAATTTGCCACGAGCAATGTGGTTATTAAAGGTCCTTTGACGGTTAATACAACCCCTCGGGTTTGCCTTAATAGACTCGAAAAAAAAAAATTACCTTCAGAATTGAGTTTATTACAACTTTGGATATGCGTTCAAACGGAAATAGTGTGTTGAAAGTCAAATGCTTGTTTCTAATCAGTCGGCAGCTGCTACCACAACAAGCGAAGATAATTTGGCTTAGAATTAAATTTCTCGAATAATTTGAATAAACCAAACCAAGATATAGACATAATTAATGCCGTATACAAATGAGCGCTTTTGCTTCGATATAATACGATTAACCTAAAAATTATGCGCCTGATGAACTACAATGGAACCAGCGTCAGATTTTAACAATTTAAATTTTGTTACTTATTATATAACACTGTGCCTCTGGTAACGTTGACGCTGTAAAATATCGAACGAATAAACTGGAAAACTTAAATGAACATAAGGGAAGTTTCCAGAAGTATTCAGAAACATTCCACAATACTATAAGACTGGTGATATATAGACAATGCGCTAACTGATGAGTAAATAGTGATAAATGTATATCTAAAAGTGAAATAAATAAATAATTAATTGTTAAATATAAAACTCCATATAATTCATTTATTAGTTAAATAAACAATTTACTTATCCATATAGGCCTACGGTATTTATTTAAAGAAATTATTATGCTAGAAATTTCGTAACATTACCTACATTGACAACTTAAGGTAAATATGAAATATGAGATAGTTGAGGCGTGGAACTTAATCTAGTAGGCAGAGGATTTGCTTCGACAGAAGTTTCTGAACTACATATACGTATGTTTAGTGAACACGTTTATTGAATATGCTAATATTGAAGAATTTTGAGGTTCATCTGTATCACAATAACACCTATCACGCAAAAAAATATTTTACTTCCGGAATAATATGGTAATTTAGACTTTAGAAATATTATGTTATATCTTTATTTAGGTAGAATAGCATAAGAAAAATATTCTGTCAACAATTCATCTCCTAATGTCAACAGGATAATTGGATGAGAAATAAAATCGGTTTTGATAAATGGTTTTAAACGTTGATGTTTCTATTAAATCGCCTCATATTTATCATTTCGCATTTTACACAGCTGTTTGTATAAATTCCGCTGATTTATAATTCTTCTCTCTGTCTTTTTGCATAGGTATATTTTCGTTCTGAACGAAATCTAGCGACTACAACGGAATTTCCACCACAAAAATTAAAACAAGACATATATCTAACTTATATTTGCAATACTTTAAATCCCTTTTTCGAGCCCAGAACAATAAAGGGTGGTTTACGTTGCACCGTTTCGGGTCCGGCCCGTGTGCGTGTCGAGTCCGTAGTATCTAGTCGAGAACGAGTTTTGTACTTTTGTTAAAGCTAAAACGTAGTAAAAAGTCATGCTTGGAATGAAGTTGGAACCCATGAAGGTGATGTGACTGTAGAGGTCTTCAATTGTACTCCTGTACTTGTCAGTGTAAGTGTTCATTAGGAAACGTTTCACGATACAACTCTTTCCCACCCCAGCACCGCCCNGTTTCGGGTCCGGACCGTGTGCGTGCCGAGTCCGTACTATCTAGTCGAGAGCGAGTTTTGTACTCTTGTTAAAGCTAAAACGTAGTAAAAAGTCATGCTTGGAATGAAGTTGGAACCCATGAAGGTGATGTGACTGACAATACTGGTTCCACGGTTAGGACCGACGAAGAATTACTATAGAAAAGCACAACAAGAAACTGTTCACAAGGAGAAATTGGGGCTTGTATGTCCTGTCTTGAGAACTATAATAGAACATTAAGAATCAAATCCTTTGAAATTTATATACATACGAATGAAATATCTGATCTCATTGATTTCAAAATTCGATGAGCGCGCCTATTGAGTGGAAACTTTATGATGACCGTTCGGTTTATAAAATTTGACGGGAGAGTCAAGCTAAGCGTGAAAATAACAATTAGACAAATCCGAATTGGTGTAGTACCCACAAATGGTCGGCGCGTCTAGATGTCAAAACACAACGATTGCAATATTTACGCTTCATTTCAAAACCACTGACGTAGTAGATGATGAAAATGGATTACAATCAATACCTTTCATAATAGATTCGTGTAACAAACAATCGGCGTTTTTATGTAGCTGTAATATCCGTTTGACAATGTATGCATATTGTAGTGACTACCCTACATAGGAACATAGTACCTACAAATTATAATTTAGTTGACAATTGTAGCGTGATCAAGGGAGCAGCGCAGTTTAGCGTGAACAGTCGACCAAAACAGGTAACTGGGGTGAGATTAAAACTGAATTCAAAGGAAACACCTCACCAACAAACATTCCTGCAATGCTTCAGTTCACTGGGTCTCTTGTAAAACGACTGCAAAGCCCCTGATATGATGAACAACGACAACAGTATACTGGCTAGTTTGTTTATATTGCAATGTTCGTGGGTTTAACAAAATTAACTTCTAAGACTGATGACGACAAAAACTATTTATTTACACTAATTATTAAACAACTTAAAAATACTATTAAATTGTTATCTACTAAAGTTAGGTTATGAATTATTCTATTTATTTAGACTACTGTTGATATATCACTATTCAGTGCGCTATTTATTTCACTGCTGTCACTGTCAATTTATTTCTCGATTCACTTCTGCAACGGTTAATTTATTTCTCCTCTCTCGGCGATCGTCCCTTCCTTTAAATACTCTTTTGTTTACTTTCGGGAACCTTCTAGAAACATCCGAATAGTTTATCTTTTCTTTAAACTGTTTAACTGCTTTCCCAGAACGCAGGTGCGACACACACATTTACAAATATGGCGCACATGTGCCCGATCGCACACAAACACACTCGTACTCGCTACAATATACCATTCGCAGTTTTTAAACGAATAAAAACTGTTTGAGCCAAGAAAATCTGTAACATGTGATTCCACCTTAATTAATTTCGTAACGAGAACCAACAATTTTAGAGTTACTTTGAAAAGACTCTTACTACATTTATTTCAAACTTTATTATTCTTTTAATCTACCT